ATTCGTTCAGCGATGTGAGACGGGGCGGGGTTGGGAAGGATGTGCTTGAGCTTGGATGATGATGCAGTGGGCATGATTAAGCTCCTGGGATTCGTATTCCTTGGACTGAATAATGACTGGAAGGGCCTAAGGAGGCCATGTCGATCGATGGACATGGTCCTATTAACGGAAGTGGGGTAGTGCGGACGTCCAAGGTGCAGGCTACGGGACCAAAGGACGGCGAGACTAGCGCGCCTCAGACTGACAGCGAAGTGTTGCACGTGGTGAGGTGTGGCGGGTGAAACTCGTGGCAATCTTGAGGGGTCCAGCGTTAGGCTCTACTTAATTAGTTTGAAGGCTGAGAGCGAGTGGGTCTCACTGGCCCAAGTGGTCCGTGTTCTCGGCTGCCTCTAATGCTGGTGAACGTACCATGTCCAACCACTGCGCAGACAGCGCGTGATGGCGCGACACCGCGTCAACATCTTGAACACCAGCACAGCACGCGACAACTGCAGGACTTTGAACGACTCGCCAATTTGGCAGACGGTAGGCGAAACGGAGAATACACTGGCCAGTAACGCATTCGCGAACCGTCCATCCTGCTACCTACCGCCTTAATCCGCCAGGCTAACAGAATCGAGCTGCCAGACTCTTCCCTGCCGAGCCCCCGAACCACAACGACAATACTATACCGACCGACAGCCGACTCTGTGGCCTCCCACCAGCGTCTTGCGACGCCGAATCGGGTCTCTCCCCCTACCCCGCGAAGCTATAAACCTGTGGCGCAAGTGCTACGGTGTGCTGCTGCATGGGCATCTCCCATGTGACCACCAGCTATGGCAGACCCGTGCGAACGCGATCGAATAGTCCTTGTCTCTTTCACGCTCAGCCGTGGTGATGCGACTACTACTATGTCTGTGCTTCATCGCTCCGCCCGCATACCGCGCCGACGAGACAGGTTAGTAGGATTGGCGGTCTGGGCAATCTCTAAACCGCCCTGGCAGGATGAAGGGCTCTTATAATGACACCGCACCGGCCTGGCGCTGTGCCTCGTATCGCTCTGGAGGATGCACAGCCTTGGGGTCATAGTGAAACGGTTAAAGGGGAAAATAGACTAGGACTCTTTCGCAGGAATTCTTACAGCTTCACTCAATTTTAAGGACCACCTTATCAATATGCAATACGTCTACCGTCAGTACGCTCTCCGTGCCCCCTCGCCACAACCGGACAACTCGCGAGTCTAACACCATCAGTACCGAGTCCATTCCCGCATCATTAATCCAACTTTGCGAACCACCGGCAAAACAAGAGTAGAACTACGCGCGTCAACACAGCACTCCTCAGAAGACCCCGCGTGGCGGCGACAGTACTGACGCTCCCACGCCCGTAGATATCCGAAACTCGGGCGAAAAGGACACCGTTACTGACGAATCGGCAGGGAAGCGTCAGCGCGTATCGAAGGAGCCCAAGTTATGGTCCGGATAGGGGCGTCATAGCCTGCTCCTACCGAACGAACGAAAATCAATCGACACATACGATTAGCTCGCGAGTATCACGTACCATCCTCTTGAGATTGACGCCTAA